ACTAAATTATTATAATTAGGGTTGTAAATTTGAAATATTTCACTTGAAATATTTTAATTGAAATATTTCAAAATTGAAAATTTCATTCTTCTTGAAATATTTCAATGAAATTATGAAAAATATTTTTTTTCTTTTAAACGTGTTTATAGGTGATTAGAAATAATATATTGATACAACACAGAAAACATTGATTATGAATAACTTATCAGTTAGGTATCATTTATCAACCAAGGTATACGAATTAAAAACCCTACCTAAATACTGTTAATGGTCAATGGTTATAAATTATAAATTAATAATTATATTTTTATATGGTATTTGTATATTGGTATTAATTTTTATATTTTTGTAATCACTTATCACTTATCAGTTATCACTTATCAATTGAATCCCCTATTGGCTATTAAACTATTTTTACCACTTATTACTTTATTACTAATGAAAATATAAATTATTAAATTATTACTTATTAGTTATTACTTATCACTCAGTAACATTGAAGTCTTGTGGCCATTTGCCAACAGGGATATGTTTAAAAAATGACTCAATAGATAAGATTATAAGAATATAAGATACCTATACATATTTATATAATATTATGACATAATAATATAATATATATTACAAATATATACAATATACATATTTGATATTATCAATCATGCAATTTTTCCCTGTTGGCATATGGCTGACTTCAAAATTGTCTTATAGTGGATTATCTAGTTTTTTATATGTCTATGTTTGTGTATTTTTATGTATGTAGTATGTAACTATGTTACATATTTTCTTTATTTCATACAATAAACCAACTTTTAAAAATGTTCACTTGGAAATAAAAAAATATATTTTTCATGGAAATGAAATATTTCATGAATTTTTCATGAAATATTTCATGAAATATTTCAAGAAAATAAATTTCATGAAATTTTACAACCCTAATTATAATATTTATCAACATTTGATACAAATATTTTAGTTGGTAAATATAATATATCTAGCTAATCTATTTGACTATTTATTATTGTAATTAATCAATTCACTCAATTTATAGATAACATAAGTACGTATTTTCATCACAGTTTGTATTGATAAAATATAATTAATTAATTAAATTATTATTAAATCTCATAACCTACAATAAACTCGTAATATTGTTGTCAATAACTAACATTTTAAAATTACATTCTTCTTCTTTGGTTTATAACGGTTCATTTAGCATCAATGCCACTTGCAACTCTTTCGTTCTTTCGGCACTCTCTATCCAACACCATTAAGCCATTCCCCTAAATAAAAAACCTCCATAACCACCTCAAAATTTTTTAAATGTTGTTTTAAATTCAATATTTTAAAAGTATTCAACCTCAAACTTGAGCAAGGTTTCTGATAGAAAATTATATCTAGTTGATACTTTTTTATGGTTGTGCCTGTGGTGATGGACGATGAGTCAAAGGCTGTTAATACAACAACTGAATAAATACAACGACAAATAAAAAAAAAAGTACAAAACTGGTAAGTTGCTCTGCTGTGTAAGAGTATATTTGTAGTGCACCCGTCACTATTGATTCGGAGTATATTTGTGATATATGAATATCTGTTTTAATTTTATAATAAAATTAATTTGTTTGAAATGTTCTATTAACCTTTTAGTTATAATAAGTTAAAAAATATTTTAAGATTCTAAGACGGTCCATTAATATATTGGTTATGTGTGTGTTTGTTCTTTTTTACGTTTGAATTTTGGTACAGATTACAGATGTATGAACTTATATATTTTTCCATCGTATGTTTAGCATTTTCTGAATTGTATACAAATTTCGAAAATGTTGGATCTTTTTATGCTATTATACACAATTGACATATTTTACTGTAGTATAATGCGTATAAAAAGTATTTCTAGTTAAAAATTTAGATAATTATTTAAAAATAAATTCATCATAGTTCATTAATAAGACGTTCTTACTGCAATTAAAAAAAAATCGATAATACTCGAGTGTCGTAGAGACACTTGTTGTTAGACAACCATCAACACAGGACATTATCTACCGATATTCGTAGGTAGGCAACCATCAATATGCTGAATTATATGCGACTGGTGGCAATACCGAGTTCTACGGGCGTCCACAAATCGTCGGTACGGATTTATGTATATGCCACTTGTGGCACGGCCGGGAATGTCTAGACCCCTGAGGGACGCCTGTCCTTCTTTTTCTTGAGGTTGAAAATTAGTTATCTTTTTTCACTTTGAATGTTTTTTCTTGGAGGAATGATCTGAGGAGATTGATAAGTTGATGAAGCACGTCCGTCGCTAGAAGTTTAAGTATAAGACCTTCATGCCAGAATTTATCGAAGGTTTTCTGGATGTCTACAAAGGTTTTCTTTGTTTTGTGCCTAATATTCAGTTTGTCAGTTACTACATCTATTGCATTTATCAATTGTAAATTCGTATTTCTCTGGATGCATTTTTGGCAGGATATATATTTTTAGTCTCTATAGAAGAAGTTTTTGCCTATTGTATTAAATAGAGAAATCTCTATATGATTTGTCGGGTTTTTCGTGTCTTTACTCAGTTTGGCAGCATCATTCTAATCTGGTTGAGGCATTGAATATTTGGCAAATATAGTACGTGAGCTCCTTACCAGCATGTTTGAAGGCTTAGTTAGAGATTGAGTCTGTCCCGGAGAACTTTTACTTGGAAGTCTGCGGATTGCTTCATATACTTCACCCGGAAAGAAATAATGATTTTTTGTATACTGCCTCTTTATATGGCTTTATGAATTCAAGAACTACTTAATCGACCCAGCGGTTGGTGTCTGTAGTTTTAAACTGCTTTTCCATTGAGTAAGCAAACAGGTTGAATTTAGTTTCTTGATCGAATTGAAGATTGCCTTCTTGATATTGAAGTGGATGAACTGTAGGTGGTTTGCGAAGATACCCTCTATTCTATTTATATAATTTAGACCAACCTTGCGCATTGAGTTCTATCGAACCCAAAAACGTTGACCATTCATTATCTATATTTGAGTGTAGTATAACTATGACTAGTGATGGTAATTTATTAAGGGGCTTTTATATGGTTGGATACCTTAATTTCCGTTTTTTTCTTGATGTGGTTTTGAATAAAGTTTGGCAGATAATTGTTTCTATCTCGGGTTGAGAAGACGGATGAGCTTTTTTCCAGTTTTTCTGAGATGATAGATGACAGTTGGTTAATCACGCTATCAATCTGATTTTGTGAAGTCATTTTTGGAAAGGAAAAGGATAAATCTCCAATTTATTCCTTGAATAATTCCCAATTTGTTACGTACTAAAGTATGGGATGATTTGTGTGATCTAAGTTCAAGGAAAAGTTATTAAAGCATTTAAGTCCCCTGCTATTATACAATTCTGGTGTGTGTCAAGAAGAATTTCAATATCATTGGTTTGAAGTAGAGGACCAGCATTTTTATAGACCGACCTTAAACGGATATCAAACGGTGATCCAATTTGTACGAATATGTACTTGTACGTGGCTGAATTTTGGATTTACCAAAAGAGCTGTTTCACCCTCTAGCAGTATACATAATAAAGTTTGGAAGCTTGAATTTTTATTGGATGATAGGTGAGTTTTGTTTAGTAAGATTATATAAATTCTCTTTTCTTGAACTAGATTGAGAAGTTCAAGGTCTTTCCGATTTACGTCTTGATATTCAAAAACAAGATTTTTATGTAATTCATAATCGGTTTATTAAATAAGAATAGTGAAAGTATTTCTACTTTGGTGGATATGATTGTTTTCATGTTATCGGGCTCAAGCTCGGGAGAAATGTGCCTGTATTTAATCTAAATGTCTCTACATGTATGCGTGCTGTGATTGGCGCATTTGAACCGTTTATGCCACTCAAGAATCACATTAACTACTTCGTGTTTTCATACTTGTTTATGTGAGTATCGATCGTCATATGATGTTTCTATACACAACATTACACAAAAGTGTTGCTGGGGTTTTAAAATATATATTATTTGTTTTTATAGCTAATAATCTCGGTAAGTATTTATGAGATTTATAATTAGTCTCTTTGAAGAAAGTAGGGAAAATATTTAAAATTTTTTAATTAATTATAAGTTAAAAACAAAGTTATCAACTATCCATTTTACAAAATTAAATTATACAAAATCGAGAGAATTCAAGAGAATTTCATACAAAAATTTGGAACTAAGTTTTTTTGATCGGAAATAGTTAAGTATTCTATTGAAAATTTAGATATTTTATTAAAAGAAACTATTTTTATGTTAACAATACTAAACATTTTTATATTGAGTGACTACAGCTGATCCTCCACGGAGTTTTCTGTGATTAATTCGTTGGCGGTGGATTTACGCCCTTTGAAACTCCTTTAAATGTCAGCCCTAAGATATATAGATTTTTAATACAGTTATTTTGTTTGTTTTAATCAAACATAAAACATAGCGGATACCCGCTGGCCGCTATACGCTAAATAAATACCCTTGTTGAATGCCACCAACTGAAAATCGATTCTTTGTTTTGATTGAGCCGCTGATAAACGATTACCTTCAAGCCGGTTTTCATGATGTTGAGGATTTTCAACCACTCTTGCTGTAGTAGCTCTGATTCAAACTTGTTATAAAAGTTTATCATGTTGTTCTTGTGTTTCAGCTGCTCATAAATGTTGATCTCTCAGCTGCTGTGACTCAAAACGCACTTCCCGTTGTACGGGCTAATCGGCTGCTATTTCGGTGGCATTTTTGATTTTACGTTTTGTCATTGTTTTTTTTATAATTTTATAAAAGCAAACACTCATAAACAAAAATAATGATAAAAATAATCTTAAAATCCCTGTTTGAGAACATCCCCGAGGTTGACCTCTTGTTTACCTTTTTTCGCTACAAAGCCTATCTTCTCCCCAAGGTCTAATCTATCTCTGTACCAAATTGAATTGTAATCGTATGAAAGGTTTAGGAGTGCATAAAGGACATAGTCAAGCGCAAACATATTTTGTCTTTTATATCTTGTTTTGCCATATAAATTGTATTATACAAATGCATTTATTTCTCGCGTAGCTGTACGGTCGCCAATCATGATTCAGCAACTCCGTCAACAACAGGTGCATTGAATCTACGAATGTGTCTAGATTTGGTGTTTTATCTGAATTGATGATAATATCGTGATTGTCACTTTGTAATTTGTGCATGAGTGATTTAAATAATTTCAACAATTCATTGTGCTCATTCAATAAAGAGTTAAGATCACCGACGACTAGTCTAGAAAAAGGTGAATTTAGGTTATTGTATCTACAACATGCATCCACGCTATTGGCGAGTGCGCTTTCGGAGTCCTCACCACCCATGAAGTAAATTTGTAAAAATGTGTGTGGTTCGTTTGGCATTGGTAGCAATGAGCCCACTTTGTGATAATATTTATTTTGTTGGCCTTGAGCTACGGCCAACAGCTATTGTAGGGTTATTGTTGGTATGGTTGGTAAGGGGAGAACGGTTGGTATGGTTAGTTGGAAACACGTGGATGTGAACCAAGGCTGTACGCCAATCTGGGAACTAATGGCAGTGACCGGTGTTCACTCTTAGATCATATTGCATGACTGATTGCACCCACCACTTCTATAACATTGTTTTTATGATTGATAAGTTTTAAACTAATTGACATACAAATTATTCACGGTGAACAAAACTTTTATTTTTAATCAGCTACATTATACAGTACGTATTTTTTTTTATTATTTTATTGTATTAAAATGTGGGTAATAAAATATAACTTTGTTTGATACGGTGTTCATTGATCATTGTATATTGTATCAGCTACTTTATTTTCATTCAAATTCTACAAGAACAGAATATTATTTAAATGAAAAATATTACCTATAGTTATTATAATTTTGTCATTATTTATTACAATTTAATTTCCAACTGTTGTGACAATGAAAATTGTAGTCCCTTACGTTGTATTTATTTGAAATATGATTTTTCAAACTACATAATATAAATAATCTATTACAACTAACAATGCAGATTGTACGTGAAACTTATGAATAAAGATAATGATTTACAATTTATTTTACCAACAGCAAAATTTGAAATAAGCTATAATTTAATAATGTTTTATATACAAGTGTTTAATTAAGTTGTATATACTTATTATTAACTACTTATTATTTGTTATTATAATATTGTCTAGCTGCTACTAGTACGTATATTTTGTTTTGTTTTATTATATACGCTATACCCGCATGTGTTGTCTCCGTCTTACAAATGTACAACATATCAAAAACTATTTTGCGCGGGAAAGAACCGAGAAGGCTACAGTCATAACTAAGAAACGAAATTTTCACCACATAAAAAGGAGAACTATGGCTGTGCAACGTTGTTTTTATTTTTTTGATATCACTTATATGAAAAAAGTTCTTACTGTTTAAAAAACCGTTATTGTTTGTGTTTTTCAAACTTGAAAAACTTTTTTCATATAAATGATATCAAAAAAATAAAAACGACGTTGCACAGCCAAAGTTCTTCTTTTTATGTGGTGAAAATATCGTTTCTTAGTTATGATTGTAGCCTTCTCGGTTCTTTCCCGCGCAAAATAGTTTTTGATATGTTGTGCATTTGTAAGACGGAGACAACGCATGCGGGTATAGCGTCCTCTTAAAATCTATTCTATTATTGATTCTGTGTGAGACTCTATGATTATAAATTAGAATATTAGTTATAATACTAATTATTATTTCATTTATTATCTTCAATGTATATTTGATTATAAGCATTAGAGTACATGTTGTTCGTTAATTCTTAATTAACGAATAATTCTCATTACGTATGAGAATTTGACATACAAAAAGTCAAGGTAAAAATGAAATTTTCAATTGCTGGAATATTTTTTATGTTTTCATATTAGAATTTAACCTATTAATTCTATAAACAAAAAATTGAATACCTACCTTTCAAATGTGAAGCACATGAAATAACAAAGGTATTTTGAAAAATATACTCTTAATCAATATACACATATCTAGCACCTAATATAATACAGGCAGTCAATATTTTTAACATCCACATTCCACACATCAGAGTGCAATAGTGCACTAACATTTTCAATAGCGGCAAAGAAAATCAGAAGCGGCTATCACATTGAACACCACTATACATTTAATATTGTGTATGATTGACAATTGTATTATTAATAACTTTGGTATATTATTATATATAATTTTCCAGACATAATAAGTAAGTATATTATTTAATGTTTATTGTCTTATTTTTACTATCTCTCTTATAAAATGATTAGATGACCTTACTTATTAGATATCTATTATTAGATATCCGACTTCAAATGATGTCTGTTCAAAAACTATTCTTGAATACACCGCTATCTTGAGCTAAGCTGGGTGAAGTTAGAACATTCAGTGCTTGAAACTGGTTTAGGTTTTTATTTACCTATAATGAAACACAGTTTAGAGAGTTAAAACGTAAAATGAAAAAACAATTAAAAATGTGTTTAAACTCGACAGGGAATCAATTGTACATACCTACCAATAGTGTTTTTGAATGATTTATTTAATTACAGATATTTGAATCATTGTTTTTTTTTATTGAACATTGTATTTCTTTAAATAATTTGTTTTTTAGTGCATTTATGAATAAATAATGATAATATATTACAATAATAAGGAAACTATTATATATACTTTTTTAAATTAATACGATAATATAATAATCTACGAAGAATATCTTAAAGATCATTCCCAGAATCTCGCCGAAATCTTTAACAGACTTCATTAGTATAATTTTAAATTACAACTACTTAAGTGCAAATTCCTTAGGAAAGAGGTCACTTACCTGGGTCGCAGAATAACTGATGAAGGGACGTAGACAAACATAACAATCGCTAGACATAAATGTTATCGTGGTTCAAGGCTATCATGGTTAATAATATTTATATACACAATACACGATAAACTATATTAAATATTAAATTAAAGCCCTAACAATATGTTTTAAATATACCTATTTGATGTCAGTAACTGTTATATTATTTAGTGAACATTGAACAACTTATACTATTAACAATAACATTAAAATAATTATTTTTTCTAGCGAGATATCTATGTACGTAAATATTAAATTATTAACTGAATTAGTAAGACTGTGTTTGATAATTTTGTTTATACGAATTTTTAAATTTGTATTGACGAATTTCATGTGTTTGGAACAAAAAGGTGCAAAAAATATAACCTATATATTTAAATCGTCTTTTTATTTGTACATTGTAACGGTACATACATATTACATTTAGTAAAATGGTAATTTTTAAGGCTACCAAGAAACCGACAAATGAACACAAACCCAATTTTAACATAAACAACTAATAGGTATTACGCAACAAGCGTCAACATATCATTTCGTTATAAACTATTGGGTTTCAAAGTTGGGCCTCAATTCAGAATTTTATAAATTTATTGAGGACTTTGAAATACAATAAATAGATTTTTCTTTGTAATTATACCATATTATAACTATTTTATAATTGCACTTCTAAATTAAAAAGGGGTGTTTTATTTCTAGCTGAAATTCGTAAGTTTCTAAATTGTATATGATAACTATATTATAATAGATTAAATTGTTAGCGTAAAACTCCAATGTTCATAATATATTAAATATAATTGAATTAGTTAATGTACATTTTTTTAAGTACCTATCTACATTCAATGGATTCATAAAAAAAAATGGTAGCCATTAATTATAAAATTTCAAAATTTTGTTTGTCATTTTTAATTGAGTCCATGTTTTTATAGCAAAACAATTTGTATAATATAAACTGAATTAATAATTATAATATTTATTTCATTTCAGGTTTGATAAGTACGTTATCACTTTTATTTTATAAGTTTTAAAATATTTATTTATTTATTTATTTTTAAATATAAACGGACGTAAGTCCTTAACAATATTTTATCCGTATACACGGTAATAATAATACAATGATGTTATATTAATGACAAATAACAATCTAAGATACATTATACAGTTAAAAGTTACAAATATAGACAAAAGAAAAAAAAGGTAAATAACAACAAAGAAAGATATAGGGCGAGACATGCTAAAAAAAATCAAAGGTTATGGAATTATCAGCAGCCATTAGGATATTAGGACAGTTTATCATATAATTTGTTTTATATGGGACGGGATAGAATAAATAACTGCATATTGTGTTACGGTGATTTACTTTAAAACGGATGAGGAAAAGGAGCTCATCACAATCGATATTCTCTAAAAGTAAATTATGTAAAAATTTGGATACCTAGTAATAAAGTGCGTCTAGTTTTGAGTGGAAGGAGATTGATAAATGATAATACTTAATCATAGGAACCACGAGCTGGTGGCCTATAAATATTAAACTTGAAGGAGATGAAACGGTGGAAGTTATTTTTAACTGATTCGACCGCATCAACCTGTTAAGAAGTGTTATTAGTCCAAATTAATGCACAGTATTTTAGGTTTGAGCCAACAAGGGCACAGAATAAAACATTTAGAGATAGTGGATCTCTGAATGATCCACAAGTTCCTTTGATAATATTCAGGTTGCGCATTGCCTTATCTTTTATCATTTTAATATGGGGTGAACAATTTAGTTTAGAATCAAAAATGACACCTAGGTCTTTAACGTTTGTTAACAATTCAATATCAGTCCCGGAAATATGATAATTATAATTGATGACATTTTTGCTTAGGCTAAATCGCATAGATTGGCATTTGTCAATGTTTAATAACAGGCGATTAGTTAAGCACCAGAATTGAATGTTATCAATATCGTTTTGTAAGTCAAGCGCGTCACCTTGATTGTTAATTATTTTTACCAGTTTAAGGTCATCTGCATAAATAAAAACACGAGAATTTTTTATAATATGCTTAATGTCGTTTATAAAAATATTAAAAAGTAGAAAGAGAGTTGATCTCCTTGCGGAGACATTAAATTGAACCGATTCAGAGCTCAAATGTTTAACAACGATATTACGATTTGAGAAAAAAGATTGAAACCATGAAAGCAGAGGGTCAGAGAACCCAAAAAGTTTTAATTTCATAAATAATATTTCATGGTTTATGCTATCAAATGCTTAAGACATATCAGTGTAAATGATATCGGTTTACGAACGGGCTTCGAAAGAGTCAAGTATTATTTGTTTAGTAATAGCTAGATTACAATTAGTTGATAGGTCTAAAACCATATTGAATAATCATTAATTTTAGTAGAAATTATTTTTGATACAATTTTAGGAATTACTGATGTTATATATTAATAATATCTAAAAGTGCAACACTGGGTATAGGTGTTGATAACGCACTCACACACTTTTATATTATCGGGCTGTCTTCCTGCGGCAGTTAAAAAATGTAATTCTCTTCGGACGTGTTCTTTTAAAAATAAACAAATGAAATCAAAAGTACTGTTTTCATCTTATTTAATCTAAATTGTTGTACAAAATACAACAAATTTGGCGACGAAGATGGTGAAAAACAAACCCGTAAATTCGGAAACAAGTGCGTCAAACACTGCGTCTGGTAATAACGCGAGTAATAATATGACGACATATGTTGGACTTAACCACATGCAATTTGATCACCGTTCCGGTGAATGGAAAACTTTCAAACTAAAGTTAACAAATAGTTTCATTGCTGGTGATGTTTCAAGTGACCTCAAAATGAAAGCCATTTTAATAACTGCGCTGAGTGACGAAATGTTGTCTTTACTCACAAGTTTATGTGTGCCTTTGGACATTGAAGCAAAATCATTCAATGATCTAATCACATTATTAGATGCACATTTCACGCCGGTAAAATCGTATTTTTCTGCCAGATATGAATTTTACAGAGCGGAGAAAAATCCTATGGAGACGGTTGCTGAATGGGCTGCTCGAGTACGCACCTTATCCATACCATGTGGTTTTGGTACTGAACTAAACATTGTTTTAAGAGACATTTTCACCCTTGGTCTTGATAAACAATTTAAAGAACGATTATTCGAAGAAGATGCCACAAACAAAACTATCACTATGAATAAAATGATGAACATTGCTCTTGCTAAGGAAATGGCCAGTAAAAATGCTGCGAAGAATAATCAAGAACCAAATGAAGTAAATTTTGTAAAAGGAAATAAATTTACCCACAAGAAATCCACCAAGAAGATAATCAATAAACAGTATTCAAAGAACTCACAGAAGGATCAAGCTGGCGAAACCTCGGGCGAAACTCACAAACAAAAATGTCAAGTATGCGGTCGTCAAAACCATAAATCAAACAATTGTAAGTACAAAGGTTATACATGTAATTTATGTCATTTAGTGGGACATTTAGCCCCCATGTGTAAAAATAAAAATAAATCTAATCAAAAAAATAAAACTTACAACACTCATTATTTAAAAAATAAAAGTAATAGTTCTGATGACGATGACATTTTTTTGGGTGTATCAGACAATTTCAAATTAATTTCTGAACCAAGTAATGAAACAATAAAACCATTAGAACTAAACGTACAACTAAATGACATAAACATTAAATTTCAAATTGATACTGGCAGTTTGCATTCCCTTATAAGTGAAAGTTGTTATTTAGAAAACTTTAGTCACATTAAATTAAATGAAAATGATATTATTTTAAAAGATTATATTGGTAAGCACTTTAAACCCTTAGGCAAACTCAATTTAAAATTTGTATGTAATTCCAATAAAGGCCAAATTGCTTTGTATGTTATAAAAAATGGAGGACCTCCACTTATTGGTAGGAATGATTTTAAAAAACTAAATCTGTCTATAACTCAAGATGTAAATTATGTAAATTTGTTATATAATAATGATGAACCAAAAGATATAAAATCATTATGTCAAAAGTACTCTAAGGTCTTTGAAAAAGGTTTAGGCACTTTCTCAAAATATAAAATTACTCTTTTTGTAGATCAAAATTGTACACCAAAGTTTTTTAAACCCAGATTTGTACCTTTTGCGTTAAAAGACAAAGTTGAAATTGAAATAAATAGATTGGTTAAGAATGGTGTTTTAATTCCAGTTGAACATTCCAAATGGGCAACCCCTGTTGTTCCAGTTCTTAAACCAGATAATACAGTCAGATTATGTGGGGATTTTAGTGTAACTTTGAACCCTGTCTTACAAGGAACCCAACACCCCTTACCTAAAATTGACTATCTATTCACAAAACACACTAATGGTGTTTATTTTAGCAAAATTGATCTCAAAGATGCATATGCACAGTTAATTTTATCTGAAGAGTCTAGAAATTTAGTTGTAATAAATACACATTTAGGGTTATACGCTTTCACTAGGCTACCATATGGCATAAATTGTGCTGCTAGCATATTTCAACGAGTCTTAGAACAAACTATTGGAGACATGGATGGTGTCACAATTTTCCAAGATGATATATCTATTTCTGGTAAAACTAGATCAGAACACAATAATAGATTAGAGGCTGTGTTAAGTAAACTTCAAAATTCAGGCTTAAAAGTTAAAGTTGAAAAGTGTAAATTTCTTAAAAATTCCATTGAATATTTGGGTCATCTTCTAAATAAAAACGGTATACATAGCACTGAAAAACATATTGAAGCCATTAAAAATGTTAGTGTACCTATTTCTTTATCTGAGTTGAAAAGTTTTTTAGGTATGGTTACTTATTATATCAAATATATACCAAATTCAGCTGAACTTTTAGAACCACTTTATAAATTGACTAGAAAGGAAGAGGATTTTATTTGGTCAAATAAATGTAATAATGCCTTCAATCAAATAAAAAAACTTCTAATTTCTAACAGAGTTTTAGCTAATTTTGATTCTGAATTACCATTAAAGTTAACTGTTGATGCATCTAGTATTGCGGTTGGTGCCATTTTATCACATGTCTACAATGATAATACAGAAAGACCAATAGCATTTGCATCACACTTATTAACTAGAGCTGAGCAAAAATATCCACAGTTAGAAAGAGAAGGGTTAGCAGTTATTTTTGGTGTTAAAAAATTTCATGATTATCTATTTGGAAAACATTTTACTTTGGTAACAGATAATAAACCCATAGCACACATTTTAAATCCAAAAAAGGGTATTCCCACTATTGCTGCAAACCGCTTACAGCGTTGGGCTTATATTTTGATGGCTTACAAATTCGATATTAAATGGGTTTCCACTAATAATAATCCAGCTGATTATTTATCTAGATTATCCATACAAAGTAAACAAATAGACATAGAAGCAAACACTAATTATTTAAATTTTATAAATGATGAATCAAATTGGATTTTAGACTGGTTCAAAATTAAAAAAGCAACTAGGTCTGATCCTATCATTTCAAAAATAATTGATTATGTTTCTAATGATAATTGGCCAAACGATTCCAATAAAGATCCAAATATAATACCCTATTATAAAAGAAAAAATGAGTTAACTATAGAACAAAACGTTTTAATGTGGGGTTATAGAGTAATAATTCCGGCCAAGTTTAGAAATAAATTGTTAAATCAGTTACATGAATCACATCAGGGCATAACAAAAATGAAAAGTTTGGCTAGAGCCTATTTTTGGTGGCCTTTACTTGATGGTGAAATCGAAAAGTTAACTAGTAGCTGTGAAGTATGTTGTGAAAATAGAGCAATCCCTCCAAAAGCAATTCTAAAACCTTTTGAATGGCCAACTAAACCTTGGACAAGAATCCATATTGATTTTCTTGGGCCAGTTTTTGGTCAAACTTTTTTTGTTTTAGTTGATGCCACATCCAAGTGGATTGAATGTTTCAAAGTAAATTCTCTTAACACTACCACAGTCATTAAGCATTTAACTGAAGTTTTTTCTAGATTTGGTTTACCTAAATCAATTACATCTGATGGTGCTAAATGTTTTTCTAATGAAGTTTTTCATTCTTTCCTAAAAATGTATGGTATTATGCATTTAGTTGGAGCCCCTTACCATCCGCAAAGTAATGGTGCTGCTGAAAGCGCTGTAAAAATAATTAAAAATGTTATCAAGAAAATTATAAAAAGTCCTGTTAAATCTGATTTAGATGTTGAACTGAGTAAATTTTTATTTCAATACAGAAACACTCCTCATACTACCACAAAGGAAACTCCTACTAAGATTCTATTAGGCAAGTCAGTAAGATTTATTTTTGATTTACTCAAACCACAAACGGACGACATAGTCCTAGGTAAACAAATTGCTCAAATTAAAAATAGCGGAAGGAGAGATGTTGCTTTTGATATAAATGAAAAAGTTTTAGTAAGGGATTATAGATCTCCAAGTCCCAAGTGGAAAACAGCTGTAGTAACAAAAATATTAGGCACTAGAAACTATCAAGTCACCACAGATGAAAATCACATTTGGAAACGTCATGTAGACCAAATGTTAAAAACTAAACAACCCAATCATGAACAAATTTCTAATATTAACACTGATTCAAATAATAGTTATAAAAGTCCAATTTCTGAAACAATCTTAAACACCACTAATAACCAACAAAGACCTAAGAGAACTATTAGGAAACCAACTAAATATTGTCAATAACTTTTTTTAGGTAAATTGTAATTTGTCTCATTTGTCTTTTTGTATTGTTATCTACCAACACTATTATAATTATATAATATTATTTAATATTCTGTATTAACTTATCATGTTCATGTTATATTTATATACTACATTATAATATACATGTTATTATATTTTTTCTATTATTATTATGTTATTATAAGTTTTCATTTGTAATATTAAATATTCAATTTTCATATTATATTCAATTTTTATTTTTAGTGGTGAAGTGTTATATATTAATAATATCTAAAAGTGCAACACTGGGTATAGGTGTTGATAACGCACTCACACACTTTTATATTATCGGGCTGTCTTCCTGCGGCAGTTAAAAAATGTAATTCTCTTCGGACGTGTTCTTTTAAAAATAAACAAATGAAATCAAAAGTACTGTTTTCATCTTATTTAATCTAAATTGTTGTACAAAATACAACAACTGATATTTTTGATATTGGCCGATAGTTGGAAACATTTGTGGGGTCACCTTTTTTAAAAACAGGGTAAATAAAAGAGTTTTTAAATAGGTCGGGGAATATACCGTTTTGGACCTATAAGTTAAAAATATAGGTTAAAGTTGGTGTTCGTATAAATCTACAATTGTAGTGGAAAAAGGCGGGAATGTTATCGGGAACGACGTTAAAATTTATAGGGAGAACGGTAAGCTCGTTCAAAACATCGACCTCAGTAAGCGATACAGACGAAAACAAAAATGAATGATTACTACTTAAAGAATTATTAAAACGGGGAACAAAAGTGGTAATTTTGTCTGGATGAGGGTAATTTTTAAAGAAAAATTTAGCAAATAAGTTAACAATATCATATCCATTATCAGCGTATCGAGCGTAAGGAGATTTGGTATTGAATTATTATTTCTACGATTATTAACCTACTTCCATAAAGACTTTGGGTTTATATTGACCAATAGTTGAACTTTATTAATATAGTTTTTAAAATCGTGTTTAGCAGTTCTCTTACAATTAGCTCTCAAACGAGAAAAGCTATTATAATCTGATGGGTCATTAAATTGGTCACGAATTAATTTTTCAATAAACAGGTAGTAACTAAAGCAAATGTGTTGTAACATCAACTAATGCAGATGATGAATCATTACCAATATCACCATCATCGCTGTCATAAGTTACTATTAAAAACCTAAAAAATCTAGTAATCACTGTGAGGTCTTTGGTTATCTCGACTATAACAATGACAACATTGATCGACATATATCTACAAGTCATTAATCTATGAATTTTACCACACTCACCACAAAAAAAATTTTATTATTGTCACCAAATCCACAATCTTATTTGGCACCAACAGTTTCGAATGAAATTTACATCTACCCATCTACCCACTTAAAAGTACAAACTGAAATACCCGATGGGTGATGACTACAGAACATTGATCCTTTTCCTAAAGAAAAATTATGTAGGATTAAACATTTAACAACTGAATCCAACTGTAAATAGGTTTTTGATGTCATGGCAATTTTAAACACTCAACTACTTGAATACTCAAGTAAAAAAAGCATTTGATATTTACATTTAAATATTTTAAAATTGTTTTTAAATATATTTTTATTACGTTATACATCATCTATTCACTTGAACCAATTTTCATGTTTTAACTTAATTCTCTAGATAATTTTATACTGTATCATTTGGTGTAACTATAAAATGGTCATCTGTTTCTTATTATTTTTCTGAAGTATTTGTATTTTAGGTCAAGAATAATTCAATAATATATTAGATTAAATTCTCAATTCTTCACAACTTTATTTTACGTTATTACAGTTTAATTTTCATAAGGTTTAATATTATGAAAATTAATAGCATGTGTATTATTTTATTTCTAGGTTTATTAAGTATGTGCATATTGTATTATTATTTTGATTTTTCAATTTATTGAATTTTGTAATTAAATGTATGTGATTTATCTCATAACTTATGTGATTATCACATAGATAATAGAAGTATTGATGGGCCATGAAACCTTATTGTTATGTCAAGGTCTACGTAATGACAGTGTTGTTACTTGCAGCCCTTTCAGGAATCCAAAAGATTTACTTTGAAATAAAACAGTAGTCACTTTAGAATAGTAATCAAAATGCAGTTTTATTATAGCAATAAATATGAAGTTTATCGTCGTGGTAATGTAAATGATTCGTAGTAGCGGTGTATAAGCTCGTCGTAGTAGTGTGTAATGACTGGTGGCGTGAAGTGGCTCTGGTCTTGGTGGTCCAGGTACATCTGATCGTGCTGTTCTCCTGGCCTGTATATATATGATGTCGGGTCCTTTGATTTGGTAGACGCGTGTACCCAGGTGTCCTTGAGGTGGTTGAAACAGTTTCGCAAAGCGGCTATTCTCGCAGAGAGTGACACTGCCGCCACTTTAGGGAGAGGCTGCGTCTACGAGGCCACATTTCACGGAGATTGGTTTCTTCCTCGGTTAATTGTACACTTATATGTGGAAGGATTATCTACTCGTATAATATGTAATTGCGTAAAGACTTATTCCTTTACAATTTACACAGAATTCATAATAAACGGTATTTAATGTGTACACATAATTAACTTAACATTTTAGTAACAATTAACAATATTTCAAGACTTAACTAGTCTAGTGAAAAAAAATAAGTAACATAACCTATATAAAATAACTGTTTGTACAAGTGCACATTGCAACCACACACACTACAGATCCTCCCCACTAGCATAATTCCAGCACATCACATTATCACCAATTTCAAACCTTTTAACTAACCTTTTAACTCTACTCTTATGAACTCTTTTGGCTACCAACATACTTTTATCATAACTATATTTAGCTCTTGGCACAAATAGTCAAAAAATGTAAACAACCTCCTACCAATATGTCATTCAGCTGGTGTTACATTTGTAGCACAATGCTTGGTATTATTATAGGATACCATAAATCTGACTTTATAAAACTTTTCTTCAAAAAGTTTTTAAAAGTTCTGACCAAATTTTTAACAGCCCCACTTTGGTGGATTATAACTATATTCAACACACCCACTACATTCATTAGTGATCATATCAATTTCTTTGTCAATATTTAGCTACCACATATATGACCTCTTTATTGCTTTCATTTTAACGGTACCTAAATGGGAACTATGCAATTCCATCAACATAACCTAACGTAACTTTAATCGAATAACCAGCCTATGTCCCCATAGTAACATACCTTGCTCAATAGCAAGTTCATTCCTAGTATTAAAATAAGGGTTAATATCCTGCGACAGTTCTTTACTAGAATTAGGCCATTTTCCCGACATCACCAACAAAAAAACTTTTTTTAATACCTTTGCTCTCTGAATTTCTTCACAAATATCTAAATCAGCAATCCCCTGCACATAAAGTAGTTCTTAAATTAATAAAAAAAATACTACAAAATACATGATTGATCTTATCAACCCCCTCAAGTGGTAATCGGGATAAGGCATCCGCATTTCCATTGTCCTCTACTTTCACGAATTGAATAGTATAAGTATAATCGGCGAGGAAAACTGCATACCTCTGCAGTCTATGAGCTGAGTCCGGAATCCCTTTTTTTTTTCCAAAAATTGATATTAAAGATTTATGATTCGTTTTCAGAATGAAAGGTCAACCATACAAATACTGATGAAAATATTTGACACCATAAACCAAAGCCAAAGCCTCCTTATCCAGCTATGAATCCCCCTGCTAGCATTTACTAAGCGTCCTTGAATCAAATGCAATAGGCTTTTCATCCTTATTGGGAAACCTAAGTGACAGCACTGCACCTATACCCATAGGACTTACATCACAAGGTAGAACTAATTCCAAGTTTGTATCATAGTGTGTAAGTACTGCTTTTGACAATAAATTACTTTTAATATTAATAAATGCTTTATTTTGCTCTAGACCACAATAAAACTTGACATTAGACTTCAATAAAGAATACAAAGGACTAGTCAAAGAGGACATATTTCTAAAAAATTTAACATAATAATTAACTAGATCTAAAAATGCTTTTAACTGATGCACATTTTTGGGAGTTTTCACCTGAGCAATGTCTTTAACTCTTTCTTCAGGAATATGCAAACCATCCTTATCAACACGTTGTCCTAAAAAAGTGACACTATCTTGCAACAATTTACACTTACTAGCCTTAACTGTTAAACCAGCTGATTCAAACCTTTCGAACACTTTCCAAAGTCTCTCTGTGACTTCCTTGTCATCTTTACCTGCTATAACTACATCATCGTAAAAACTAACAACTTCTTCTAAACCACTTAAGATATTTTCTATTTTTATTTGAATGATCCTGGAGCAGATGCAAAACCATATGGCACCCTCTTAAACAAAAATAACTCTCTATGCTTGGTAATCGTTTTTATTTTCTGACTCCCTGCATTCAAAGGTAGGTAGTTTTTGATGAGCCTGACAAAGGTCTAAAGTAAAAAATTTAGTGCATCATACTCAATAATTCATTCACTCGCCGTATTGGGTACCTATCCACGACCAAGCTTTTATCAACAATAACCTAATAATCTAGAAACAGTCGAATCTACTTTCACGACAGGTACAATCGGAGTGGCCCAATCTTAAGACTTCACTGGCTCTAATAAACCATCTACTATCATTCTATCCAGTTACAAACTAACCTTATCCTTTAATGAAAATGGAATATTTCTACAAAATATTGGTTTTGAATCAGATTTAAGTACAAACTCAAAAGTCTTATTTTTATAACATCCCAAAGAATTACTGAAAACCGACGGAAACCTATCAACCATGATCTGGACACTCAAAGTATTTAAACCTAATTCCTTTAGGAATACCTTTAAGACAGTAATCCAATCTCTCCCCATAATCGGTGGACCCCCTTCGTTCACCACATACAAACCTAATGTCTTACACATACCCTTATATTTAATAACTACAGACAATATTCCTAATGGATTAATAATATTGCCATTATATGTTTTTTAA